TTTGTTCAAAATTAAACATAATAATTCAGCTCTATACTACTCAAAAATGAATGAAGCAGTAGAAGTTAAAAATAAGAATGTCGAAAGATTCTGAAAAAGATAACATAAATGTATAAAAACTGGCATGAGAAATTGCATTTTGTTTTGGATGCCTATCAAACATTAGCATGCACCTCTACTGGGACAACTTTGTTTTCCTTAGTTTATGGGATGAAAGTTATATTATTAGTGAAAGTAAAAATTTCATCCTTGAGAGTCTTAAGAGAAATGGGATTAAAAAAAGCTAAATGGATTCAAGAGTGCGATGAGCAATTAAACTTCATTGAAGAGAAAAGATTAGTAATGCTCTGTCATTGTCAACTATACCAAAGAAAAATGATGAAAGCTCATTACAAAAAGGCTTGTCCTCATTAATTTTGAGAAAAATAATTAATGTTGAAAAGAATCCTCTCGAGTCAACATGATGATAGAGAAAAATGGATCTCAAATTTGGAATGATCGTTTGTTGTGAAAAAGGCCTTTTCAGGATAAGCCCTAATTTTATCAGAAATGGATGGAGATGACTTGTTTAATCCCATAAATTTTGATGTCGTAAAAAAATACTTTGCTTAAAAAAAAGAGAAAAAAAATGAGAGTTCAAGTTAAAAATCTGAAATGGTAGCTTCAACTAAAGGGAGGTTTATCTAAGTTCAAAATTTGTAAAGGTGACTTGAATAAGGAGGATATTACATCATTCGTGAGGTGCATCAAAGCCAATATCAGTGAATTTTTGAAAAGTTGTGAAGTGCTGAGGATATTATATGGTTCAATTTTTGAAAAAATCTAAAATATGTTATCATGATTATCTGATTATTTGTCTTAGGGCATTATTACCTCAAATAACCATCTTTATATGCCTTTTTTTGGTCCCATTGCCATCATTTGTAATCTGTTTCTTCTTCAAATAAATGATATCCATTTCATATTATCTATGTCTCACATTTAATCTTGACCTTTTTCTTTTCGTGCTTTGCCATGAATAGAAAAAATGTATAATTTGCATCTTATATTTTGAAATTAGGATAATAATTAATAATTAAATAATGTCATGAAGGATTGTGCATTACTTTAGGAAAGTTAAAGGGATGAAGGCAAAAGATGAAATCTTCAAAGTTTGGTAAAAGCATTGGTTTTGAAAATTCCCTTTAAAAAAAAGATGAGTTCCTATTTTGAGTGACGAAAAATGGATTTGATTCTCCTTGTGAAAAGTATGCAGAAAAAAAAATCTTGAGAACTTTAGTACCACAATTGAAATTTTGATGCATTTTCATAGAATATACATTCATTTTGGTCGCATTGTCGCTTAATTACATATTTAATTTTTGATCTTGGCTCAAACCAGATCATTTTATTTTTTTGACTCACGGTTCGATCTCGGTCACTCAATTTTTAATCTAGATTCAGTCCAAATCATTTTATTTTTTTGACTCGTGGCTCGATCTCGTTCACTTAATGTTTGATCTCGACTCAGTCTAGATCATTTTATTTTTTGACTTGCGACTCATCTCAGTCACTCAATGTTTGATCTCAGCTCGATCCAGATTATTTTATTTTTTTGACTTACGGCTCATCCTACTCACTCAATTTTTAATATCGCTCGGTCTAAATTATTTTATTTTTTACTCAGTTCGATCTTGGTCACTCAATTTTTAATTATGGCTCGATCCAAATCATTTTATTTTTTTACTCACGACTCAATTTTGATCACTTAATGTTTGATCTCGGCTCAATCTAGATCATTTTATTTTTTTGACTAGCAGTTTGATCCCAATCACTCAATTTTTTATCTCGGCTCGGTTTAGATCATTTTATTTTTTTAACTCGCGACTTATCTCGATCACTTAATTTTTTATCTCGGTTCAATCCAAATTATTTTATTTGTCTGACTCACGATTTGATCCCAGTCTCTTATTTTGATTTTGGCTCTATCCAGATCATTTTATTTTTTGACTCGCAATTCGATCTTAGTCGCTTAATTTCAATTTTGACTCAATCTAAATCATTTTAATTTTTTGAATTATAGCTCAATCTCAATCATTTTCACTTTTATATTTTGGTATACCTCAATTAATTTCAACTTTGATTTAGTTTAGTCATTTTCATATTTTAATTTGATTTCAGTATTGGGCCCGAACATAATGGCTATCTATGTCTTTGCATTATTCCTGTTTCACAGAAATGTGCAAAGAAGGGTAATTATAGACACTTATTTTTGTCTGGGTATTTTACTTATTGGGCCCAATAGTGATTAGTTGAATACAGGCTTTAGGCTTAATCATTATTATTATTATTATTATTATTATTATTATTATTATTATTATTATTATTATTATTATTGATTTTGTCTTTTGCAAGAAATCAGCAAAGTTGTTGGATTCCCATGTGTGAATTGAAATCGAGCATTGGTTTTTTAATTGGATCAGTGGAATCATTGACCACAATAAAATCCCATGATTCAAGTATAGATTAATGCTATTAAATCCCTAAATTTTTGTTAAATAAACGCTATAAATGAATATCTAAATCACACAAAGTAAGCAAAGAGGAGAATCTGGGTTCTAGGTTTTTACAGCTATTTGGACGAATATGTTTTCTAGATTAGTTTATCTTTTTGGAGGTTCTGGGGTTTGATGGAAAGTGAAACTATTTGGGATCTTTTGAAAAATTTGAAAGAGGGTGAGTTTTCTAGAAAAATATGAAAAAATTTATGTTTTGGGAAGAACATATGAATTTTTCGGTAGGTTTTGAATTTTTTAGCCAAGTTCCAATTAGTTTTCAAGAAACTGATGACCAAATCCAATTTTCGACGGTTAAGTCTGGAAATCCTAGAAAGAGGCGAGATAGAAAAAGGAGTTAGAGAGAGAGAGCTAAGGCAAGTATAAGGAAAAACGAAAGATTCTGCCTTTTATACTGTGCCAAAATGGCGTTGTTCTGAAGTACTTAGATTTACGCGTCGACCCATTGACTCGCGTGCTGATTCGCGCTCCAATCCCAACCCAATCGTAGTTTTTTTATTTTTTTTTTATTTTCTATTTACATTTTTATTTATTTTTTTGTAGATTTTCTTATTTATTTTCTATTTATATTTTATTTATTTTTATTCTTTTTAGATTTTCTTTAATTTCATTTATTATCATTATTATTATTCTACTTATTTTTAAATCAAATATTTTCATGAATTTTTTTAAAAAATAATAATAAAATAATAATAATAAAAGTTTTTAAAATGAATTCATAATTGCTATCAAACTATTTGAGAATTTTTCTTGAATTTAAATTTTTATGAATTCTACTAAACTATTAAAAAATCTCATAAATAAATTTTTATAAAAAAATTATTGTTAATAAAATATTTTATACTTTACCCTACCAAATTATTAGAAAATTTGCATCTTAAATTAAATCTTACTAAACTATTGAAATATTTAATATATTTTCTAAAAAATAATTTTATAAAAAAATCTCACCAAACTATTAAGAAAATTGTATCAAAGTAAATTTTACTAAACTATTAAAAAATTTTACTGATTATTTCTTTAACTAAAATTTAAATGAATTCGACGATGGAGCCTCTTCAGGGTGAGACACTAATCTCTATTAATACTTCTGAGGTGAAAGAATTATGTTAAATTGCTACCAAACTATTAGAGTAATTTTAAGATTAATTTTCAATATTAAATATTTTAATAAATCATAAATATGGTTAAGGCTTAGATAATTTAAAATCAAACTGATACCATCCTTTGGAAGGGTACTGTGAGGGTGCTATAACTTTTTTCATACGTAACCGTATTCTCGAATCTAAAATCTATTTTCGTGGAGTAAAATTTACTATTTAAAGATACCTAAATCAATATTTAAATATGATAGATTCGATCAAGTGACCAATCACACCTAAATAATAAAAAATTAGTGATGACTCATTTAATACATATCTAACAGTAAATCTACAAATCTATATTTTATGATAAAAAAATTAATGATGATTCTTTTAATACATATTTAATAATAAATCTACAAATTTATATTTTATGACATTACCCACTTAATTTTTTGAAAACTCATAATATTAATTCTTCTTTTAGCCATTGCATTACTTATCTCTACAAACTTATCAATTAATGATCCTATATTTTAAGTAGCTAAGATAATTTAACCCTATAGACTAGCTTCTTTACTCATTTTCGTCTACCAAAACACGAAAACCTTGCCTATTTGACATTGTACCCGAGCGACGATGCGACGCGTCACTTCCGGGCGATGACCTAGTAACCTTTGCATATTTAACGATATATTTGGGTTCGGATGCGGCATTTCGTTAGGAGGCGACGACTCAATAAAATTTTTTGTTTTAGTCTTTCATTAGGGTTTGATTATATTTTACACTAGATGTCAACTTATCGCAACATTCCTCCTTTATTCGGATTTAAAATCGACAGTGTGACAACATACAAGAGGAGTTTTACTAATATTTTTATAAAATCTACAAATCTCATTAACAGTAATTTTTTTAAAAAAAATCAAAATTGGATTGTTTAAGGAAAAATAAAATAAAAAAATTCAAAACATTACTATTAAATTAAAAAATAAATTTAATTTAATTAATTCATATAATAAATTTTTTTAAAAAAATAATATTTAATAATTTTAAAATTATATTTTAACGCTTACAAATTATAACAAAATTTCTTCTTTCAAATCATACCTATGTCGTAAAAATATTGAAATAAACTCTCATATTGCTTTATGAATATGTTTACCTAATTAATTTGACAGATAGTGGAATTTAATTCCAAACAAATTCAACCCATTTGGTAAGACTTTGAATGAACATATAGAATGCATTTATTTAATTCCTTAACCAACTAGTATTTTTAGCAAAGATAAACTGAAAATTTCCAAATAAATTAAGAAAAACGTCACTTTTATTTATTCAAACGCATTACACATATTCCCTGTGGGTTTTTTTTTTTTAATTTTTAATTTTTTATTCAAAAGAATCAGAGAAAAGAGAAGCTGCCAGAAGAGAAACCAGTCTGAACAGGGTTAACCGGGTTGCAACAAAAGTAAACAGTAATGCCAAAGAACCGAAACGAAAGGAGAAAACTAACGTGCAAGATTCTATCGTTCAATAACTGCAAGCAAGCTAAACATTCTAAACTGCTGATTTTTTCAGCGTTGCCACCATCACTCAGATGAAGCACGAGTGCGGGCAATACATCATGGTACATCCCATAATTTACTTGGAACAGGGAATTGGCTATCACACCGCTTGTTTCAAGCAGAAATGTCAAGTAACTTGGATCCCTTAGTTTAGGGATCCCTAAATGGTGCAGGAGTCGAGGAAAGTTTTAAAAAAATCAGTGAAGGAAATTGGAAAAAAGAAAAAAGGCAGATTAGTCCTAAATCTTATCGTGCAGGTTGACCACCAAGTCATGGGCATCATCAAGAAGCTTCCAGACATCCAGATGTCCGGCCAAACTATTGCATTCTCTCATTATCTCATCCATGCTGCTATACTTCTCTATGATTAGTTTCCTCCTTTGTAAAACACAAGCTGCTATTGCATAAAGCAAAAGATCATCAGTTGGGGGAGCTCTAATTCTCATCCTCCCCCAAGCAGACTTTGCAATACCTGCACGAATCGCTGCCTGGTCTGCCCATGTCACTTCCCAGAGGCAAAGTGTCTGCTCAAAGTTTAACTCCCTCCGAAAAAGAACTACAACCATTCTATATACAAAGAAGCAATCTTCTGCTTGAAGATTCTCCAGGTGTCTATATAAATGAATATCCTTACACTTGATTATCTTGGACACGATGTTTAACTGTCTTCTAATGCCCACTTCATCAAGTCGGAAATTATGACGAGCTCTTTTCATGAAACCAGCAAAGCACCAGAAGGCCTCAGAGTCATCTTCTACCACTGAGATAATTGGAGAGAGCAGATCGCTCATTCCTTGGCAGTAACCTATCTCAGGATCGTAAAGCGCATAGGCCTCAAGGATAGCAACAAGACGAGCAGCATGAAAAATCCTGCATGGCTCTAAGTGATCACAATCCTTCAAGCCAACACTCTCAGCTAACCGTTGTGCTTTGATTTCTGATACTGCGGCCGGAGCTGGAGAGTAAACCATCCATTCATCATTTGCCCTCACAGCATCAAGGCGTATGATTCTCTGCCATGTGGCAAAATCTTCATCCGTGTGGGATTTGGACCTGCCTTCTATCTCGGAGGGAGAGGAGCTATCATTATCATCTTCATCAATATTATTTTCCTCAGTTATTACTGAGGCAACGAGGGGTGTGTTTCCATGTTCTTCAGAGGAGTCAGAATCAGATGAATCTATCTCTCCAGTAGAGGCATATTCACAAGTGACCACACTCTTATCAACATCTCCCTTCAAAAATGAGTCAGTAGATAGAAGGGTTTGATGACTTCGATCACATAGAGGGTGATCAAAATCATCAACCACAGGGCTTCCTCCCTCAGTGGAGTGTGACCACCTACCACTAACCACATCCTCTAAGCCTAGAGAATCATGAACTTGACTGTCTTCATTGCAGCTGTTTCCAACAGTTTCCTTCAACTTACAGCTCTTCTTGATACGTTTAAGAATTTGGCGGCACTGTTTCCGCAAGCTTTCATACTCTTTTCTGTATCAGAAATAAATAAGTAAACAAATAAAACACCAAAGAAAAAGAGATAGAGAAGGGAAAAGGAAGATGGTAACAGTAACAAAGCATTGGCTGATGAATCTGTGTATTAAAGAAGCAAAAGAAAGAAAATAAATATACCTTTTCTGAGTTCTAATAGAATCTCTTCCTTCCTTCGAACTGTTGAAGTCATATCTGTTCAAGCATGCAGACATCAAAGTTAGATGGTATAACTGGTCATTTATGACCCACCTGTAAAATGCATAAGAAAACATCTCCTCAAAAAATTTGTTTTCCAGATAAGTGATTAATATGACGAATAATTACAAATGAAGAAAAACTCAAGCAGCAAGAAAAAATAAGAGGTTAAAATAGATACTTGGAGCATACAATTCAAATGAATACATATAATAATCCATTTTCCCTCCTCTTTAACCAAGGCTTTGTTTCCAGTTAAAAATCATTGAGACAATGAATAGTTCGAAAAGCACCAAGATATGATAAAATGATGATACAAGGATTCATTAGAAAAAGTAATCAGGCACACTAGCCAGTGATTTGAAAGGAGCAAATTAACCTAGAGGTTAAAGATTTAAAAGGAGAAAGGTTTATTCGAATCAAACTATACAGTAGTACATAAAAGTATATGAATCTTACACTTCAAGGAGGAAAGGCCACACCTCTGCTCTAATACTTGGATCAACACCCTGTATTTGAAGATGCAAAGAATGAATTCTCAAGCAGCAATGACATATCCACTAAAACAGAATAAACCAGATACAATCTGTAACAAACTCAGATGAACGAGAAGGCAAATAAGTATGAAACAAGTTTAATAACATACTCCATTTCGAATTGTCTTCAGAAGCTTGACACCATCATCAAGGAGTTTCCCATCTGCTGTGAATAAATTTTTCCATTGTTTAGGTAGAAGGGCATGCTTTCTTCTCCTATGAGACCAAGGTGATTTTAGGCTACCCCTGCAAAAAAAAAAAAAAAAGAAACAAAATTACTAACTCTTTTTATCAAGATATAAGCTTATGATAATCATAGATGGAAAAACGAATGTAAATGAAATTAATAGGCAGTAAATATGAATAGCAGTTCCAATCATTTTGGAGAAGTTCACAAAAGGCTAAGGGGTCTTAACATTATACCCTTTATAATTCAATAGTCATTTAAGGTCTTAATATTTTATTGCAATCAATCAAACCCTTAATCTTCTTTTTTGACTCAATTGAATCATTAAATGAATGAAATCTAGTAATGTGACAAAATTTAATCAATGAATCCCCAAACTATAGCCAGTTGAATCCTTAGAGAGATCTTAGAGAGAGAAGGATAGAGAAAATAGAGAAGAAAAAAGAAAAAAAGAAAAGCTTATTTTATTTAATTTTCACATATATATTAAATACGTCATGTGGCAACCTTTCATCTATTTTATTGATGTCACATGAAATTTTATCTTAATTGACAAAAAAATTAACATTGCTAACTTTTCATCCAAATAAAAGCTTAATTAGATGCATATAAATATTGGAGGGGTTGACTGATTGAAATAAAAAATAAAGATTTGGATGATTTTTTAAATTATAATTCAGGACTTTTTATACTCTTTAACCTTCACAAAATAACAGCATAATTTTTTCTGTCCAAGCATGATTTATGAAAGATACACTATAGGAGTCCATAAGCTTCCAAAAATGCAATACATCACATGAGGAAACAAAACTTGTGGAACCCTCAACTGAGTAATGCTACAAGTTGAGTAGATACGTGGAGGAGTGAAGACAAGCAAGTGAAAAACTGCAAATAGAGGCGATTGCAATCACCAAGAGGGTCTGTAACTGTTGCAAATGAAGATGAGAACAAACAAAAATCACAACTCCACTGCAACGACTAAAAGGTCCAAATCCTAATGAACAGCCTATCATGAAGTACTATTAAAATGGCCGTAATATCATACTTGAAATAAGAAATTTAATGGCTTTTGCTCAAATTTTGCTTAACGAATTCGATTCCGAAAGCGACCGCTACTACTACCAAAAAGTGAAAAGAATTGCAACATTAGACTAGTATGATCAACATCAGTATTCAAAATGTTAAGGCTTTCAAAATTACTTTGAAAGAAAGTGTATATATATATAAACAACCGAACAATAATCGGATTAAGAACCTCTGGAGAGAGGAAAAGACGATGAGATTGAAATCGAACTCTTATTAACAACTTAAGGAACATGACAGTGATGGAATTGATTCGACTACTTTCAGATCAGTGATTTAGAAACCGAAAGAAAGAAAAAAAAAAAGAAGGAAATTTAAGGAAAAAAAAAGAAGGTTGGAATCTATAAAACCCTGCCAAAGATAAGTAGAAATCTTTAAAATAAAATGAAAAGGATTAGTTTAAGTTCAACAGAAAAAAGGAGACTCACCGATCATTTGGAAGTGGTGAGGAGGAAGATGAGGAAGATGACGATGACGACGAAGAAGCAACAACTAATAAAACCGATCGCAAATGAATCCACAATGACGATGATGAAGAAGAAGTATTTGACGGCGATGATGATGGTGATGAGGATGTGTGACTTCGTCGTAAGGCTCTCATTAAAGGTTTCTGTTCCGTAAGCATGTCGAATTCTATCTATCTAATTTACCTAATTAATAATCAAAAGCAATCTAAGCTCTCTACTCTCTAGGCTGTGTAATCATGGACAAGATTTTGAATGAGAATGAAGCTACGATTTTTGACAACCTTTTTTTTGCTCTTTTTTTTTTTACCTACGAGAGTAGATGACGGTGGCGGCGAGTGCGATGCCGGCCATAGCAGTGACGGCGATGGCTATGCCAGAGGGTGAAACCGCAGAATAAGATGACCAGAAACCGCCGCCACCGCCACCTCGGCCGCCGCGAGTACCAGTGGTAGCTTCAGCAAATACGATACATTTCCCCAAACCAGTAGTAACGCCGCTACCGGATGAGAGAAATTGCATGAAAATGGCACAGTACGACGAAATGACAGTTAAGCCCAAGCACAAATCCCAATTTGACTTTCGCTTTTTCTTTTGCTTCTTATGGAAGAAAGCACTAACCATCACCTAACGGAGGAACCGATTGGTTTTTTCTGAGTAATTTTTGTTTGATTTTGGATTTTTTTTTTTTTTTTCAATTCAAAGCTTTTGCTCTCTTTTCATGAAAGGAACTTAACTATTTTAATACAGTATATATTTAATATTTTATTCCTGATAACTATATCTATATCTTTCTTTTCCCTTCATAATTGTGCGAGATGGGAGTGTGTTAGACAAAAGCAGACGGGAGATTTCAGATTTCGTGGTTGGGAAAAAGTTGGATCTTTTAGGTCGGCCCAGTTATCCCTAATTTAGCCGATATTTAGTTTCACTGGGCCATAATATCGACCTCCGTTTTCCCTTTTTTTTTTTAAACAAAAAATTAGTAGAATTACTTAGAGCCGTTAAGTTTCGTCGGTCGCCAAATCTTTTAATTGGCAATCGAACGGTGCTCTACCAACGATCAGTGGCCGACGACTTAAATATAAAATTACAAAAAAAAAAAAGAGACCCGTCCAATATGCAAATGGTCATTTGGCCCTTTTAGTTTTCACTCGAGTGCTTAATCAAATATTCAAACTCGTCCCATCTCCACTTTCAAGTTTCAACCAACAAAAAAATTGCAACAAAAGATGCTGAGAATTAAAAAAAAAAGTCAAAAGGATAAGGGCCTGTGGGTAATTGTTGCTAGTATAATTTGTAGGAAGGATTTTATCGAATAACTGTGGAATACGTGGAGGAAAAGTTTGCCAATAGCATGGGGAGACAATGCCCACATTTATGCCGGACGACATGCCGTTGCTTTGGTCCGCACTATAATCTAAAGGAAGTCACATGATGTATGAGATTATATTCTTCTTCTTCATGTTTTTTTAGAAGACAAATTTTCATATAACAAAATTTTCTCCAATCTAATGGTATGAAAAGAAAATTTTTTTCTCGCCAATCAAGGCTCAATCTTTAATACACTAAATTGATATAAAAAATTACTTTGTTAAAATAATTTAAGAATAAAATTAAGTCTAAAAAAGTAGAAAGTTATTTTCGTAAGCTGTGATCATATTATAAAAAAATAAAAAATTTAAATCAAATAAAGAGACAATCATATGTAAGTGATTGTAAATTTTTTTTAATTTCGTTTATGGAGTTTTAAGAATATATTGTTGATGTGTAAGTTAATTTTACAATAAAAGTATATTATTAGACTGGATTGATGTATAAACAATCAATGAATTGGGTATTTACTGTTTATTCATAGAGTGGATTGAACGTTCTGTCATTCATGGCTCTAGACTCCTGAGAAAGTTGCCATGATTTGGAATTGGAATTGGAATAGCAGTTTCTACAAAAACAAAAAGGACAGGAAGCTGCATTATGGCTGGGCCTACAGGGGAATGACAGTGCTATCGGTTGCGACATCAGACCTTCTGATAAGAAATCCAACGCAAATCATGGGACTTTGTCACCTGTTTAATGGACGCAACAAAAGCTGGACCAAAAAAAAAAGGCAATACCTAAAATAAACCAACTTTATTCCCTTCATGGTTCAGCATCATAAAATTTTACACGAAATTAAAATATTATCACGTGTTTGTTTGTTTATTAAGTTTTTATTAATTTTTATAACTATATTATAATAAAGTAAGTGTCAAACTTTTTTTAAATTTTTTACTTGTGGAATTTAAAAATTTTAAAGTTAACATGTAAAATAATTTTTTAAATAATAAAACATCAATGAATATAACATTTGATGCGTTGCCGATTGTTATTATTTTCTTGAGGCAAAAGACAAATGGTAGTGCCTTAAATCACTCACTTATAATTCATTATAGGGTCGATATAATAGAATAAGAAATTATATATATATATATATAATAGTAAATTTTTTGGTGAAAAAAAATTTTCACCATCTAGAAATAGAGAAAAACAAAATAAATTATAAATGTTAGAGATTTGAGTTTTAAATTTATTGAATATTATTTTTAAAAATTAATTATATAAATTAGATGAATTAAATTGTGAGACAAGAAAGCCAAAAATGGGATGCCTTAAGTGGTTGAAAAATAGGCAAAAAGAGAATTTCCCTATTTTCTGAAGTCCTCTTTAAACATGATGCAACATTTTTCACATACTTTTTCTGGACATGGTTTTTAGTTTGCTTAATGTACAATCTTTTTTTAAGAAAGATGCTTTGAATCTTTCTTTCCACCGTCCTTTTGAAAAGATAACAACTCATCTAAAAGGAGATCAACATCAACACGGAAATCCATTTCCTTTATAAATTAAACTCTTAAGTTTTAATTGATGGATCAAAAAATTTAAAATCAACGCCATGAAATTTGCTTGACATAACGTATTCATAATTTTAATCACTGCATTTTCATTATGTTATTATTTTAGTAATTATTTAGAATTAATCTTTTTTTTTTGTGAAAATTAATAATCTTTGAGATTCCCCAAGCATTTATAGTAAGGGCCTATGATTATTTTTCATGTTGAAAATTTTTCACTTTCAGTTTTTCTAAAATGTTTATTTAAGGAGATGGAGAGCAAAAGAAAATATAAGAAAGACAATCAACCAAATACACCAAACTATATCGGAACGGAATCATTTGAAATTTCCGTTCTTTGTTTCGAAAGTTTACACACAAAACATCAAACAGACTTCAACATAAGGACGACCATAAGTAGCAGTCATTTAGTTGTTGAACTACTCCTTACAGAAGCCTGCAATCAGCTCAACTTCCACCCAACTACTTAATTTCCTCCTCTTAAAGTATTTCATATAACCCTCAAGCCTACACACCACCCTACCAATCCATTCCTCAAATTAAATCTTGAAAACATCACATATTCGTTCATAATATCTCCTAATTCACCTCAGAAATGACTAGCAACGGCTGCCGGGAAGATGATCAGCGTGCTGGGGCGGAGATTGTTTATGGGGCTGAAGAGTGCTACCGCCATTCCATCGAGCTCCTGGAGGAGCTGGGGTTCCCTAAAGGTGTGCTTCCTTTGCAAGACCTGGAAGAATGTGGAAGAGTTAGGGAAACAGGGTTTGTCTGGATGAAACAGAAGGCCCCGTATGAGCATTTCTTTGTTGGGACAAATACTCGGGTGAGCTATTCCACGGAGGTTACTGCATACGTTGAGAAGTTCAAGATGAAGAAGATGACTGGGGTTAAGAGCAAACAGGTTTTTCTATGGGTGCCTATAACTGAGATGAGCATCGAGGACCCCGCCAGCAACAAAATATATTTCAAGACTCCGATGGGGATCGGTAAATCTTTCCCCATCACGGCTTTCATGACGGATGAGGAGAAGCAGAAGTATTTGGCGGAGAAAACCAATGAATGAAATACTAATGCTTTGGAATTTTGGATTACTCACAGTGAGGATACAATAAACAATTTATTGATGCTGTTGAACTCTTTAATTGATTATTACTGCAATTTATATCTTGGTTTTCTTACAATTCATATATGAGACTTCTATGAAAATTTGATCATAAGGTTAGTTCTTCCCGGAAGAAGTAGATGATGATTACACAAATCATCCTTCCCGTAGAATCACTTCCTTTTGCTATTAAAATAGGAAACCATTGAATCACTGAATATTCCTAAAACCAAAAATATAATACAAAGTAAATATGTTGTGTGTTTGTCCTGATTAAATTTCTTTTATGCGGAATGTTGACCAACCCTGTACGGTCCAAAGGAGCAACAAAATGATCTTGCAGGTTGGATAAGTAAACTTAAGTGATCTGACTAATCTCCATCTGATATACTACTCTTTTTTTTTTGGCTACATTAATAGTCGATGCAAGCAACTCTGTTTTGACAGGGGAAGTTTTTGCCAAAATCAAGTTCTAATTATTCATTCAAGTGATCTTAAGAATGAACTTAGCCGGGCTCTAGGTGCAAAAATGGAAACATTGGATTAGTCTAGCCAGCAACATGTGCACGGTGCAGAAATTCAAGAAGCGTGGAAATTTTGACACAATGAATGAATTCATGTGTATGAAACTTCCAAGCATCCAAAAAATGTCAAGATGGATATGGTATACAATTTTCGAGGTCCCAATGAAAAAAAGGAAAAGAATGAAACTTCCACGAGCTTACCCGGACAAGACATGACTTTATAGCTTTTGGAGCCCTAGGGACTGAACCAAGATGTTTTTTGCTTCGGGTCCGTATATGGGAGAATGGAGAATCTTTGGTGATACGACGTTAAAGCCCTAATTAAGCATAGAAATGGATCGGTGATGGATGGAGGCTGGGCCTACTGATCATGTGCCCTGATGTCAGTAATGCTGATACAGAATCCAACATCTCGAGAGCTAATAAAACCACGTCATTTCCTTACACTTTTCAAACTCCTAGCTTTATGAGGGATTGAGAAATTTTGAGAGAGATGAGAAAAATGTTCATATGCTATAGCATTACTACTGGAGACAGTTTTTTTGCCAATCTACTTAATTATCATGTCAATGGTCTTTGATGAAAGTGGTTAATTTTCCATATATATATGTTATATACAATTATAAAAGCCAAAAAAAAATCTGGACATCTTGTCTTTGGTCTCAAAGGATGCCATTCTTTCAAATATGTAACTTTTACATCTTCATTTTTAAATTTATAATTAAGAATTTAACATTTTATTGATATATCATATTTTATTTTTTTATTATTAATAATATAAAGAAATAATAATACACTTTATAAGTTAATACATAATTGAGCTCGATTATAAACAATTTTTTCAATGTTTTTGAATTTTTCATAACAAATTAAAAAGTTTTTTTTGGTTCCAAAACAAGAGATCAAAGACTGCGTTACCGAGTACCAAAACCAAAAGACTCAAGGCCCAAGATCTCATGCTCAAAATGTGGAAATGCGAACAATGACTGCAGTCTGCAAATTAAGGTACAATATTATTGTTCCCGGTACTTAGAAAAAAAAAACTACCCAAAGTCCGAACAGAAAAAAAAAAAAGGAGATATATCTCTTTAGAAAAGTATTTAAGAATTATCCACACACACATGTTAATTAAGGTGATATTTATTAAAAAATTAGTAATAAATCATATATTTTTTAATTTGATGAAAGTGCTATATTAAAATAAAAAATTTAATTAATCTTATAAGTGTCCACGTAGACACCCATTACAATTTTATAGCATTAGTACGCAGAAAAAATTTTCCTTTATGGGGTCTGTTTTGTTATGCTTGTTTCTTTCGTATCTCATTCTTTTTTTACTCTTTAAGGGTGTAAGCAATAAAATTTTTGACGAATTAGTTGTAAACATATTCAATTTTTATTTGTTTATATTTATTTATTAAATTTAATAAATGATCTTAAATATTATTTGTGCGTTCATTTATTAAATAAATCAAATACGAACAATTGTCTTTTTGTTCATTTATGTTTATGAATAAACCCATTTACAGTTTGTTTAAAACTTATTCATTTATTATTCGTTTATTGTTTTATTTTTTATTTGTTTATAATAATACTAATAAAATTATATTTTTATCCTTTACCTTAATCCTATTTTAAAGTTCTTATATATTCGTTTAAGGTTTATTTGTTTAAATTTGTTTGGTTATAGTTTATTTATTGTTCATGAATATGTTCATTTATAAATGTTCGTGAATATGTTTGTTTTGTTGGGAAATCACCACGAACAAAATAGTAAACTTAAATCAAGAATAAGAATACACAAATATATTTATTTCGGCATAACTCAAAATGATCTACTTCAAACTTAATTTACTAACAAATAAATTTTTACAACTGCGAGATTTTTAGAATGAGAAAAGTTACCAAAAACTTCTTACTCAAAACTTAAACTAAAACCCAATTACATCATTTTAATAGCCTATTTATTTAGCTATTTTTTAGGTGTCTAACTATCTGAGATTACTAAACCAAAACTAAAGCATCTTATTTATAAATGTGAAACTCCTTATATCTTTACTAAACTTTCGATATGAGATACAAAATAACTCAAACTCTTATAACTTCACTTAACTTTCGATGTGAGATTATGAAATTTAAGGTAAATCCCAACAAATCTTTTCTTGACTTGAATCTTCAAATACTTCAACAAAATCTGCAAAGCTAACACATTTGCCCTTCTTCTTTTTTTCATCATAGGGATCCAAACAATTGAGCCTCTATCAAGCATGTACAAGTGATTTTTAATCCTATTTCCTTGTAGAATCACACTACTATTCTTATACACTTTTAACGAATTATTACTATCATAGTATGTGTACCTCCGAAAAGCTAACTCATCCAAAGTAATTAAATTATAGCTACAACTCGGTACATACCTTACATGACGAAGTATCCTAACAACATCATTATGAGATCTAAGGCGAACACTCATAATGTCTTGAATCTATACTTTTTCGTTGTTAGCAACCATAATATCCCTATATTTCTCATTCTCATCTAACTCCATAAAAAAATTCCTATCATTGTAAACATGAACTATAAAAGCTGAATTCAAAATCTAACTTTTATCACCTTTCAAAATCTGAGTCTCATCTATACAAGTCATCAAAATGACATCATCATCATCAGACACAACAACAGCAGTATCATTCTTTTCTTCATCCAATTTTTTTTCATTATTTTTTTAAAGCAGTCATATCATTTCTCAGCTTCTTGCAGTACACTTGGATATGTCTTTTTTTTTATCACAATAATAACATTTTATGTCATTGTAATATTTATTTATTGACTTAGATCTCTCTTGATCCATCAATCCTATTTTGAGTTCTCTTTTGATCAAAACCTTCTACAGTTAGTGTACTCTCTTCAGATGATGAGTTTTATGCTCCCATAAACTTTTTGTTATCAAGTAACAACGCAGTCACATCATCCAACTTCAAAATAGACCTACCTACTAACAAAGTTTGAACTAAAGGTCTATAAGACTTGGGTAAAGATGATAGTAAAATTAAAGCATTCTTTTTATCTTTTAACTCATCAACATAAATTATCAGCAATTAAGAAATCAATCTATTAAACTTATTCAGATGATTATGAAGACTTGTACTTTCTTTTATCTTTAAAGAATACAAATTTATCTTCAAATATAATCTGTAAGTCAATGATTTTGAAACATAAATACTCTCAAGCTTATCCCACAAATTCTTTAAAATACTTTCAGTCAACACACTATACTTTACCTTTGAGGTTAGTATCAATCTAATAGTACTAATAGCTTTCATCTAAATTTTATTCTAATTATCATTAAACATTCCCTCATATTTATTACTTTTTAATGCCTAATCCAATCCTTGTTGCAATAACAGATCTTGAATTGTAATTTACCATAACATGAAATTACTCTTTTCATCAAATAACGAAATTTCAAACTTAGGCATATGCATACTAGATATACCTTTTTTAGATATATTAAAATACTTGCTTTAAGATCTTTTGGGTTGACCTCTTCTTCTCATAAACCTCACTGTGATACCACTTGTTAGGTAAAAAGCCCTAATGTAATCACACTAGTAGAAGCGAAATTAAACAATCAATCAATCACACAAAAAGTAATAATTTAACATGATTTGATCTAATCGATCTACATCCATGGATAAAAAATAAGATCTATTAGTTATAGAGAATTATAAATATACATCTATATCAAGCACTTATAATTAATACTCATAAATCATCTCAATCTCTTTTAGTCTTATAGAGTATTTTTAACCCAAAAAAAATATCCCATGTGTATCTTTTCAATACAAACAAACAAATACCTATATGTATCTATTTATCATACCTATATGGATCCTCTTAGTCTCTTTTAGTCCACTTTCATGCACCATACAAACATACATACTCATAAGATGTAAATTTTCAGTAGTCTTATGGGATATCTATCTTATAAAATCTTATGACTCTCTTATATCTTTTTCTTATACCTAACATTGTAGAGACTTCATCTATTTATAAGCATACAAACTTACCTATTAAAAATATTTTTTCTCTTAAATTTTTTTTTGTAAGTCAAACTTACATTTTAAGAATCTATTTTCTCTTAAATTTTTTTTTGTAAGTTTTCTTATCTATCAAACAATATCTAACCAATCCCAAATAAATTTGTTATAGGATTTAAGTCATTATTCCTAATAATCTTCATCTTGACTCAAATTTCATCAAATTTTACATCAAAAATTAAGTGAAGTTATAAGAATTTGAGTTATTTTGTATCCCACATTGAGAGTTTAGTAAAGGTATAAAGAATTTTATCCTTATAAATAAAATGCTTTGATTTTGGTTTAGTAATACCAGATAGTTAAAAATAGCTAGGTAAGTAAGTTACTAAAAAGGTGTAATTGAGTTTTGAGTAAGGAGTTTTTGATGACTTTTGTCATTCTAAAAGTCTTATAGTTATAAAGATTTATTTGTTAGTAGATTAGTTTTGAAGTAGGCCATTTTAAGTTAAGCTAAAACAAATATACTTATGTTTTTTTATTCTTGATTTGAGCTTACTATTTTATTTGTGGTGATTTATCAACAAGTGATATTAGAGCTATGGTGATCCCTAACAAGTGATATCAGAGTTGTTGGTTCAAGACGTGAAAAAAGTTGATAGTTTGAGCTATGAAAAAAAGAGTTAAGCTTAGAGGAGCTTGATTTAAGAGAAGAGTTTGAGTTCATGCTTTGATAGATCAATTTATGAGAAGCATGAAAACACACGAGAGAAAATGATTGTGAGATTTTCATTGTAGGTGGAGCCAAGTATAAAGATAGATGTTTGATAAAATTTGAGTCAAGATAGAGATTATTAAGAATAATGACTCAAATCCCATAATAGTTTATTTGGGATTGGTTATATATTATTTGATGGATAAGAAGACTTGTAGAAGAAAAATTTAAAGAGAAAAAATATTCTTAAAAGGTAAGTTTGACTTATAGAAGAAGAATTATAACAGAAAATTTTTTTTAATATGTAAGTTTGTATACTTATAAATAAGTGAAGTCTCTATAGGGTTAGCTATAAGAAAAAGATATAAGAGAGCTATTGGGTTTTATAGGATAAATACCTTATAAGACTATTGAAGATTTACATCTTATGGGTATGTATGTTTGTATGGTGCATGGAATGGACTAAAAAAAACTAAGAAGGTCTATATAGGTATGATGAATGAGTACATATAGGTATGTATTTGTTTGTATTGAAATGATGCATATGGGATGTGTTTGTTTAGGTTAAAAATATTTTATAAGACTAGAGGAGATTAAGAGGGTCTATGGATATTGATTATGAGTGCTTAATATGAATGTATATTTGTAATTCTCTACAACTAATAGATCTTATTTTTCATCCGTGGATGTAAGTCAATTAGATA